TAATTACCATTTTTTACATTATTCAACATAATCGTGGGTTGCCTCCCACGCATCGCCTGGTTTAATGTCGCGGCACGATGCAATTAACGGATTCCTTTACTATTCCATCATGTATTGAGGTTCCGTGAGATTAGTCACTATTATTTCTCCTTTTTTCTTCCGCCATGCCAAGGTAATGTTTCAACCTTTACCCATTGACTTTGAACTTGTTCGTCCCATTTTCCGACTCAATCTCAACAACTCTACTTGCAAACATTTGCATGACTCTGAAAGGTCTTGACCATCAGGACTTAAGCTTGCCTGGGAGCAATCTCAACCTTGAATTGTACAATAATACTTTGTCTCCAGGTTTGAAACTTCGGACCACAATATTTTTGTCATGCAATCTCTTCATCCTCTCCTTATACAGTCTCGTGCTTTCAAATGCATGGTATCTAAACTCTTCCAACTCGTGCAACTGTGTCAACCTAGCTTGTCCAGCTTCATCAGTGTTCATGTTTAATTGCTTCACTGCCCACCACGCTCGATGTTCTAGTTCCACAGGTAGATGACAGGCCTTCCCAAATACCAATTTGTATGGTGACATACCAATAGGTGTTTTGAATGCAGTCCTATAGGCCCAAAGTGCGTCGTCAAGCTTTTTCGCCCAGTCAGTTCTTGTGGCATTTACTGTTTTGGTGAGCACACTCTTGATCTCACAGTTAGAGACTTCTACCTGTCCACTTGATTGAGGGTGATATGGGGTTGCCACCTTGTGATGCACATCATATTTAGTCAACAACTTTTCAAGGACACGGTTGCAAAAGTGCATTCCCCCGTCATTGATGATGGCTCTCGGAGTCCCAAATCTGGTGACTATATTCTTCTTCAAGAATCCCACCACCACTCTTGAATCATTTGTGGGGAGCGCTGAAGCTTCCACCCATTTTGAGACGTAATCCACTGCAACAAGTATATACTTATTGCCATATGAACTGACGAAAGAGCCCATGAAATCAATACCCCAAACATCAAACACCTCAACTTGTTGGATTGGATTCATGGGCATTTCATGTCTGTGAGAGATGTTTCCCGTTTGCTGGCATTCATTGCACCCTTTTACCCATTGATGAGCATCTTTAAAGATTGTTGGCCAGTAGAACCCTGCTTCTAACACCTTCGCTGCTGTCTGCACTCCTCTGAAATGTCCTTCATAAGGTGATGCGTGACATGCCTGCAAAATAGAATTTTGTTCTATCTCGGGGACGCATCTCAGGATCATGTTATCAATACAGATTTTAAACACATACGGTTCATCCCAGTAATAATTTCGGTAGTCACGATAAAATCGCTTCTTTTGCACATAGGAGAGTTCAGATGGTGCAATGCTACAAGGCAAATAATTTGCAATATAAGCGTACCATGGCATATCTGCCAAACTGGCTGAGAGCAGCTGCCCATCTGGAAAGGTTTCCAGAATCTCTTTGATCTCGACTGAAGTTTCAGCCCCTTCAAGTCGTGATAGATGATCAGCGACTTGATTCTCGGTGCCCTTGCGGTCACGAATTTCAAGATTGAATTCTTGCAGCAGTAACACCCAACGAATTAGGCGCGACTTAGACTCTTTTTTCTCAATCAGGTACTTGAGAGCCACATGGTTAGTATATACAATTACCTTTGAACCAATCAAATACGATCGGAACTTGTCGAATGCAAACACCATTGCTAGCATCTCCTTCTCCATACTGTATAATTGAGTTGTGCCCCGCTTAGCGTTCTGCTTACGTAGTAAATTGGGTGCATCAACTTATCTTTTCGCTGCCCCAAGACTGCTTGTACAGCGTAATCACTGGCATCGCACATGAGCTCAAATGGTTGCTCCCAGTTGGGTGCAACAATTATGGGTGCAGTTATCAGCTTCCTCTTCAGTTCCTCAATTGCCACCCTGCATTCATTAGAAAACACAAAGGACTGATCCTTTTCAAGGAGTTTGCATAATGGGTTAGCAATTTTAGAAAAATCTTTTATGAAACGCCGGTAGAATCCGGCGTGTCCCAGAAAACTTCTCACCGCCTTGACTGAAGTGGGCGGTGGTAGTTTTTCAATAACATTGACCTTAGCATGGTCAACCTCAATTCCTTTCTTGGACACACGATGTCCTAAGACTATTCCTTCTTGTACCATAAAATGGAACTTCTCCCAATTTAGCACTAAATTCGTCTCCACACACATTTTGAGCACTCGACTTAAGTTGTGGAGACAGTCTTTGAACGAATTTCCTACCACTGAGAAATCATCCATAAAGACTTCCATAACATCTTACACCATATCTAAGAATATGACTAATATACACCGTTGAAAAGTCGCTGGTGCATTACAAAGCCCAAAGGGCATTCTCCGAGAGGCAAAGATGCCGTACGAACAAGTGAAGGATGTCTTTTCTCTATTCGGGGGATATTGTTATTTGTTTGTACCCCGAATATCCATCCAAGAAACAAAAATGAGATCTCTGGCCAGCCTGTCCAACATTTGGTCAACGAAAGGTAAGGGAAATTGGTCCTTTCGGGTGGCATTGTTCAACTTGCGATAATCCATGTAGATTCGCCACCCTGTGACCGTTCGAGTTGAGATCAACTCATTGTCATCATTTTTCACAACTGTCATCCCCCCTTTTCGGTACACATTGGACCGGGCTAACCCAATTACTATCCGAGATGGGGAAAATGATTCCCGCATCTAACCGTTTGATTACCTCCTTTTTCACTACCTCTTTCATGTTAGGGTTCAGTCTTCGCTGGTGTTCCCTGGAAGGTTTATACCCTTCTTCCAATAGAATCTTATGCCTACAAAAGGCCGGGCTGATACCCTTTATATTTGCCATGGTCCAACTAATGGCAGTCTTGTTGTCCTGCAACACCTGTAAAAGCTGTTCTATCTGCACATCTAGCAAACTTGATGATATAAAATAGGTAAGGTCGAATCAGGGCCCAAGAATGCATACCTGAGGTGGTCTAGGAGTGGCTTCAATTCCAGCTTTGGTGGTTCTTCTATCGATGACTTTGTTGGAGGGTTGGCCCTTTTTTCTAGCTCAAGGGACTCGAATTGAGGTTCCCTTGACTAAACTCCTCGGCCTTCCAATGCCATTACCCATTCAGCTAATCCTTCACCATTCATTTCTTCTAGATTCATCAGGCATGCCTACAATGGATCATTAACCGTTAAGGCCCTATCATCTTCTTGCAAGATGACATCCACTGCTTCCACTGGAGAGCAATTGACATATTCGCCCGGTCTCTTCATTGATTGCTGAACATTGAATATTACTTCTTCGTCATTCAGTCTCATTTTTAGTTCCCAGTTTCACAGTCTATCAATGCCCTTCCTGTGGCCAAGAATGGTCTTCCTAAGATAATAGGAATTTCTTCATCCACCTTGCAATCCAAGATCACAAAATCTGCAGGGAACACGAATTTTCCCACCTGAATAAGCACATCATCAAGGATCCCAAATGGATGCTTCACAGTCCTGTCAGCCAACTACAACAACATAGAGGTGGGTCTAGCTCTCCCAATGCCCAACCTCTTGTAAACAACCAGGGGCATAAGATTAATGCTGGCCCCTAAATCACAAAGTGCCTTTCCAAAGGAGACATTTCCAATAGTGCATGGAATAGTAAAGCTCCCTGGATCTGAGAGCTTTTCAGCAACAGGTTTAGTTACCACTGCACTGCATGTCTGCGTAAGTGTTACTGTGGCCAAGTCTTGGAAGTCAAACTTTCGGGACATCAAGTCTTTCATCATTTTTGCATATCCAGGCATCGCCTTTAAAGCTTCAATCAATGGATTATTTACCTGAATTTGCTTGAGCATATTAAAGAACTTCTTGTACAGCTCTTCCTTTTGGTGCTTGACCAATCTCTGTGGAAATGGTGCATGAGGTCTTTTCTTTCCAACCACTTGGGACTTCTCTTTCTCTGCTACTATTTCCACTACCGGCTCTTCAACTTCTTTAGTAATTTCCTTGGTATCCTACTAAATATTCTTTTCTTCCTGAGCAGGCTGGATTATCACATCTGTCAGTCTTATTGATTCATCCAGTTCAATGGGTACCTGAATGAGTGTCTCATCCTGTATATTGTCACGAGTTCTCTCCTGCTCTGCATCAAGATCCCTACCATTACAGAGACTTACCGCCATCAGCTACTTTGGAACTTGATCTTTAGGATTGATTTGAGTATCTGCAGGTTGTGTCCTTTGAGGACGGTTGTTTAGAGACATTGAAATCTAGCCCAATTGCACTTTAATATTTTTAATAGTTGCGTCATGCGCATCTACTCTTTCATTTATCTTTGCATTGGACCAAATCACCTGCTGCATCATCGCCTCCAGTCTACTGAATCCATCTTCTTGTCTCCCACCATGCTGTTGCTGAGATGGGTGGTACCCGTGTTGATTAGTGTTGCACCCCTGCGGTCTAGGATAAGGTGCCATGTTGTTGGGGGTCTCATGTCTCCCATGTTTCCGGCAATGTACTGTGGTTAAGGTGGTCTATACTGCTGCTGAGTCTGTTGGCCCTAAGTCTGATTACCCTGTCTTTGACCTCCATAGTTAGACACATAGTTTATGTCTTCAGGAACATGATGATAATTCTGCTCTGCATTCCAGGGGTTACCCATTGGCTGGCTAATGCAAGATGTGCATAAGCCCCCATTTGTAGTATCTATTATATGAACTTGTTGTTTCTGCCTTGATTCCTCCACCTTTTTCGTGAGGATGCTCATTTGTGTCAAGAGAGTTGCCATGTTTTCAACCATTGAGTTTGAAGGATCAAGAGGCACTAAGTGCACCACCGGAGTCATATGTGCATTTATGGATGTCCACCCCAAATTCTGTGCCATTTTATTTAGTAAACTTTGCCCTTCTCTCCACGTTTTGCTCAAGAATGCCCCACCAGCTGAGGAATCTACAATATTCTTCAATCCATCTGACAGTTCCATATAAAATCGCTGCCCCAATATCGGTTCTGGAACACCATGATGAGGACAACTAACCAACATTCCTTTGAATCTGCCCCATATATCATGCAATGTGTCCATTGGTCTCTGCTTAAAGCTCACGATCTCATCAATTTGTTGGGCAGTTTTGTTGGGTGGATGGAACTTGTTATGGAATTGTTTGACTAACTCATCCCAAGTTTCTATAAAGTTTATAGGAAGTGAGTTTAGCCAAACCTATGCAGCTCCTATCATCGAATATGGGAACAATAATAGTCTGATTGCGTCTGGAGTGATGTTGGGCTGCCTTTGGGTTTTACATATGGATAAGAAGTTCTTCAGGTGCTGCTGAGGATCTTCGAGTTGTGTTCCGGAAAATAGTCCCTTGTTTTGCAACAAGTGCAACATGTTGTTTGTAATTTGGAGCGACTCAGCTTGTATGGCGGGCACAACTATGGCAGTGGCCAGATTGTCAGCTGTGGGTTGTGCCCAATCATACAATGCACCCTCAGGCACAAGAGGTGCCGATTATCCGGCATATACATCGGCCTGTTGGTTTTGGACGTTGACATTATCTATATTCTCCATGTCAATGTCAACTTGGTGTGTTGGTTGAGATCGTTGAATCTCTTTGTTGGCTCGATTCAATGCCCTGAATACCTTCTCGGGGTCTGTGAGTCCTTCTAGTAATTCTCCAGTCCTTGAAGAATTTCTAGGCATGCACCTGCTTTCCACAAGATTTCAACGTTAGAATTTCAATGAGAAAATTGGTATAAAGAAAATTGATTACACTTAGAATTTTTATACTTCTTTTAATTGTAATTGAAAAACCGTTAATTCTCCGGCAACAGCGCCAAAATTTGATCACGCTCAACTATGTCTCGCAAAAGACTATGCGGGCGTTGCAAATATATTCTGAGTATTTAAGCTCAGAGTCGAACCACAGAGAATTATTGTATCAATTATCTTTATAGAAAGTATTTAATTCAAACAATCAATTTTCCTAAACGTTGTAATTCACAAGTGATTATGTTTCTTTAGCTACGACTAATATGTAAATATAAATAGAGAATTAACTAAACTTGGTTGTAAACAATAGAGTTAAAGTCCAAGGTAATGGCGTCCCCCGTTGTTGATTTCCTTGGTTGTATATGTTCTATAAGTACGATTTAGCTATCTCTATCAATCATAAACACTCTAGCTATCATAAATCTTTCTCAAGAAATTATGGCAATTTACTACACGCGCTTTCTCAAGCAACGCTAGTTAACTCGCGATACGGTTTACTTGGATTGCATCCGAAATATCGTTATTTCTAATCCAATCTCTAATTCCTCTGTTATGACTCTCGTCTATACTTTCAGAAGTGATGTTGTTCATACAATTCGCCTAAATATGCATTCTTTCTCAAGTAAATACATATTAAATAGGAACGGATAATTGAGGGCCCTTCAATTTACCACAATCAAAACAAAGATGAACAAATAGAGATTAAAACCCAAATCAACTATATTAATAACACAACCAATTTATCAAATACGGGTTAATCCAAAACCTTAGATTAAAGTATTTAGCTACACATAACAACAATGAAGAAACAAACTAATAAAAGATTCATAATCATAAATTGCAAGAATTAAAAGAGAAAAAGAGCTCTAATATTGATGGATGATCTTCCAAGATTCTCCTCCTCTCCAAAACTAGTCTAAGAACTAATGCGGGCATACTCCTTACAAGGCATAAGGTTTCTATTGAAGTTTTCCTGAGTCCTTCAATTTTTAGCTGCTGGCAGAAGCTTCGCGACAGCGACCGCGATCACGGTGATCCATGTAGCTTAATTTTCTTCATTTTGACGAGAGGAATCGTTGATTCGCACAATTGGTCATCACGCTTGATTGAAATGCCAGCGGCGCGAAGCTACCATGCGCTGGATTATTACTGAACACCTCTAAGTCAGAATCTGGGCTAGAAGCGATGCATGCGCCCGCCATCCGCTTGCCGACCCCCAGTAGGGGCCTTTGGCCACCGAGGGCACATATCGTTGGCTAAGTCATCGCGCGGAAGAGCCGTGGTGGCCGCCTTGAAGTACAATTTCCATCCAGTGGCAGGTAGAATCCTTTGCAGATGACTTAAATATGTGATAGGGTATTGTAAGTGGCAGAGTGGCCTTGCTGCCACGATCCACCGAGATTCAACCCTTTGTCACTTCGATTCGTCCCACCCCTCCAATTCAATCAATTTCTATATTTTTCAAAAAGAGGTTTACTCCTCTCTTTGTGCTATATTATACTAAGTGTTGGAAAATGGAACAAGTTATCAAGACCTTGGAACGTATACTAGTTGTGTATTAAGTGGCCAATGTGACTTGACACTTAGTCATGTCGAGGGAAAGTCTTAACCCAATTTCACTACTAGAGATTTTGCCAACGGCGATGTGCCAACGCTACGCCGCATCTAGAGGTTTTCGGGGCGTCACTTGAGGGGCCAAGGCCTATGCCAAGGGCGATGTGCCAATGCTACGTCGCAACTTGGGGTGTCACTTGAGGGGCCAAGGCCTAAGCCAAGGGCGATGTGCCAACGCTACATCGCAACTAGAGGTTTTCGGGGTGTCGCTTAAGGGGCCAAGGCCTATGCCAAGGGCGATGTTCCAATGCTACGTTGCATCTCGGGGTGTCGCTTGAGGGGCCAAGGCCTAAGCCAAGGGCGATGTGCCAATGCTATGTCACAACTAGAGGTTTTTGGGGTGTCGCTTAAGGGGCCAAGGCCTATGCCAAGGGAGATGTGCCAATGCTACATTCCATGTAGAGGTTTTCGGGGTGTCGCTTGAGGGGACAAGGCCAAGGGCGATGTGCCAATGCTACGTCGCATCTAGAGGGTTTTGGGGTGTCGCTTGAGGGGACAAGGCCAAGGGCGATGTGCCAATGCTACGTCGCATCTAGAGGGTTTTGGGGTGTCGCTTGAGGGGTCAAGTCCTATGCCAAGGGCGAGGTTCCAACGCTACGTCGCATCTTAGAGGTTTTTGGATGTCTCTAGAGGGGCCAAGGCCTATGCTAAGGGCGATGTGCCAACGCTATGTTGCAACTAGAGGTTTTTGGGGTGTCGCTTGAGAGGCCAAGGCCTATGCCAAGGGCGATGTGCCAACGCTACGTCACAAATAGAGGTTTTTGGGGTGTCTCTTGAGGGGCCAAGGCCTATGCCAAAGGCGATGCGCCAAGGCTACGTCGCAACTAGAGGTTTTCGGAGTGTCGCTTGAGGGGCCAAGGCCTATGCCAAAGGCGATGCGCCAAGGCTACGTCGCAACTAGAGGTTTTCGGAGTGTCGCTTGAGGGGCCAAGGCCTATGCGAAGGGCGATATGCCAACGCTATGTCGCATCTAGAGGTTTTTGGGGGTGTCGCTTGAGGGGCCAAGGCCTATGCCAAAGGTGATGTGCCAACGCTATGTCGCATCTAGAGGTTTTCAGGGTGTCGCTTCAGAGGCCAAGGCCTATGCCAAGGGTGATGTGCCAACGCTACGTCGCAAATAGAGGTTTTTGGGATGTCGCTTGCGAGACCAAGGCCTATACCAATGGCAATGTGCCAATGCTACGTTGCATCTTAAGGTTTTCGGGGTGTCTCTTGCGAGACCAAGGCTTATGCCAAGGGCGATGTGCCAACTCTACGTTGTAACTAGAGGTTTACGGGATGTCGCTTGAGGGGCCAAGGCCTATGCCAGGGGCGATGTGCCAACGCTACGTTGCAATTAGAGGTTTACGGTGTGTCGCTTGAGGGGTCAAGGCCTATTCCAAGGGCGATGTGCCAACTCTATGTTGCAACTAGAGGTTTACGGGGTGTCGTTTGAGGGGTCAAGGCCAAGGGCGATGTGCCAATGCTACGTCGCATCTAGAGGTTTTTGGGGTGTCACTTGCGAGACCAAGGCCTATGTCAAGGGCGATGTTCCAACTCTACGTTACAACTAGAGGTTTACGGGGTGTCTCTTGAGGGGTCAAGTCCTATGCTAAGGGCGATGTGCCAATGCTACGTCGCAACTAGAGGTTTTCGGGGGTGTCGCTTGAGGGTCCAAGGCCTATGCCAAGGGCGATGTGCCAACGCTACGTCACAACTAGAGGTTTTCGGGGTTGTCGCCGGGCATGCCAAGGCGTGGCCACGGTACGACGCAGGACATCGCAGGATGGGTCAGGACGTGGCAGGACATGGCCATGACAC